CAGGCAGCGGAGCCGGGGGAGGCACCGGCAGCGTCTGAAGCAGCAGAGCCAGGGAGGGAACTGGCTGCATTGCAGGCAGTGGAGCCAGAGAGAGAACCGGTGGCATCCTGAGCAGCAGAGCTGGTGGAGGAGCCGGCTGCGCTGTGGGCAGAAGGGCCAGCCGGGGAGCCAGCCGCATTTCAGGCAGCAGAGCCGGTGAAGGAACCAGCCACTTCGTAAGCCGCAGAGCCAGTGAAGAAACCAGCAGCCGGTTTAAAAAAGGAGCCAAGGCGGAAGGTCTGGGCTGGCAACCCCGGCAGACAGCCCATTGAGCCGAGGACCTTTACAGACGCCTGGCAGGTTGGGGGTAAGACAGCGGCAGGCCTAGGACACCATGGAAGCCAAGAGGAGGCAGAGCTAGAGGTGGCAAGTGGCCGGGGTGTAGGGGAGGACGGAGCCCCAAGACTACCTGCGGGGGACCGCGCCAACTCTAGGAGCTACCCCAAGGAAGGACCCCCCACTGAAGTTATATTCAAAGTCGTGGCAGGCGAGTTCAGGGGTCCTCCTGACTTTACCAGGGGTAGCCTCCGGGGTCCACCCTTGAGCCCGGGGCCCGCAAGATCTAGGGCTCGGGCGAAGGCGGCGCGGGAACACCTACTAGAGCGGAGGCGGGTACAGGTCCCTTTGAGTGCTGGGGTCCCCAAAGTGGTCCCAGCTCACACAGTCCTTCATGTGCTGTTTGTAGCCTTTTCCCTCAACCCTGGGGATTAAAATGAATCAAAAGTAAAGCTGCTAACAGAAATTCCAGAGAGGGGCCTCAGCTCACCCCCACTCATGTGTCCTGAGTCCAATGACCTCACTCTCCTTCGACGCCTTCCCCCAGCCCAGCTCCTTCATCGTCCAGGGTGGTGTTTCCTTCAACTAAATGCCGGACCCCTCCATTGGGTCCCTCCTCGGCCTCTCCTCCCTTTTGTCGGGAGGCCCTTGCCTGACTTGGGACAGCCCAGCAGCTCACTCTCTGCTGTGTCCCCCCAGCTGTTTCCCCACTGCTGGGCAGCATTCTTTGATGACGTCATCCTGCCACGCTGACCCCAGCCACAGATAAAAGTGGCTGACAAATCGTGCAGATGTTCCATCCCTCTGCGGTTTATCCGGCCTAGCTGCACTACGAAAGGTAAGTTTGCCCTCTTCTCAGAGCTTTTCATTTTATTGTTACAGTGGACTGTCTCCTCCTCAACCCATGCTGCAGAAGGGGCCCCTTTTCCTTCATCCCCCTGGGACAGAGGCTTTAAATATGGACCCTGTTCACTGTAACAGAAATCCTGGAAATAATAGCCTTAATTTTTTATACAGGTTTCCCGTGATTTGTTCAGTACATACGTTCCCGGAGAACAGCGCATAAATCGAGTTTGCATAAAGCAAACCCACTTTACAGTGTAACAAATAGAGATAGGTTCCCATGGGAGGGAGGGAGGGAATAAGGCTGGGACTAGGGAAGGGATGCCGCTCCCGGGGCTGCATAAGGCAGCAAAGCAGAGGGAACAGAGTGGCACTCACCCCAACTCCAGTTGCAGCGGCCCCAGGAGCAGCCGACACCAGCTGCCTGTAGCAGCTGGGCTGTACCATGTCCTGAACCCCCTGGGGCTCTGCTGGTCCCCACTCACCCCTTCCAGTGTTAGAGTGGCCAACACCAGCTGCCTGCAGCTACTGGGCTGCACTGTGCCCTGGTGCAGGCAGCTGGTGTCAGCTGCTCCGGGGGCCACTCCAGCACAGGCTGGGATGAGTGTGGACAAGTGGAGCCCCAGGCAGTGTGGGGTGCGGCACTCACCCCAGCCCCAGGAGCAGCTGTTATCAGCTCCCTGTAGCAGCTGGGCTACACCATGCCCCAAGCCCCCCCCCCGGAAGAAGGGGTAAGTGGGGACCGGCAGAACCCCGGGGGATTCAGGGCACGGTGCAGCCCAGCTGCTACAGACAGATGGTGTCAGCTGCTCCCAGGGCCACTGCAGCTGGGGCTGGCGTGAGTGCTGCTCTGTGGTCCGCAGTTTGCTGGGCTGTGGCATGGAAATGTTGAGAACCCCTAATTTAGGGCCCTACCCTGTCGTAATCCGGCCCTGCTGTCCTGTTGTTTTGAAAGCTGAGGGTTCTATGTCCATGCTTTGCTTGACAGAATTCTGCAGTCATAACAGTTTTTATAGCACAACTTTGCTCTTGATCTTTGCCCTTGCATTGGCCCATTTCTGGAAGATCCATACTTTCCTATCCCCAAATCATCAACCTGCATCTGTTGCTGATTTGCCTGTTGTTATTTGGGGAAATAACTTTTCCTTTCTCCGCATGTGACATTTTCAAAATGTGAGCAATCTTAGTCTACATTCGGGTGCTCAACCCCCAGCCCATGGCCCGTACATACCAGGCATAGGGAGCCATGCCATCTGGCCTGCAGGGGGCCCCAGGGTTCTGAAAATTTGGTGGTGAGGGAATGGGAGCAGCAGTTGCCACTCCCCTGCTGCCAAATTTCTGGACCCAGGGGAAGTCCTGTGGGCTGCATAACACACGATCTGGGTGCAGAGGGACTAGGGACCCAATTCAGGGCAAAGGGGCTAGCAGGAGGCAGAATGAGGCCCAAAGCAGGACCATCCCAGCCAAAGCTTTGTCTAGCTGCATTTTGGAAACCTCCAAGGATGGAGCTTCCACCACCTCTCTGGGTAACCTGTTCCAGTGCTTTAGTACTTTTTGTGAGAGATTTTTTTCCTAATATTCAACCTGAATTTCCCCTGCACCAACTTGAGACCATTGCTCCTTGTTCTGCCGTCTACCACCACTGAGAACAGTCCAGCTCCATGGTGTGGAGCTGCTGCGGGCTGGGGAGGGGGGGGTGCCGGCCGGCAAGGCCACGTGGAACCTCCGCTGGCAGAAATAGGAACCAGGGCCACAGAGCTGGCGCTATGCAGCTCTTCCCCCGTTGGGAGGCGGGGCTTGCTTTGTGCGTCACGCCGCACCTCGCGTCACGGCACGTGAAAGGGCGCTCGCGGCCAATGGGAGTTGCGGATGTTGTGAGGCGGTGCTGCCGCTTCGGCGGCTTCCTCTTTTGTGCGGCCCGGGTCGGGGGCGGCCGTTGCGGAGCGGTTGAGGCGTCGCGGCCATGGCGCGAGGCCAGTAGGGCGCCGCC